CCAGGTGGACGGGCTGTGTGGGGTTCCCACCACAGAGCCTTTAAAGATGTGACCAAGTCTTCAGGAAGTGGCTCTTCTGTCCCAAAAGTGAGTATTGTCTGCCACAACAGGCCCTGGATTGCCAGCCCCCTCATGTGGCCGTTTCCTGGGAGCAGACAGTACTCACTCTGCAGTGCTGACTATGGGGGTGCTGGCCCAGTGCCGCCTGGCAAAAGACAATCTGAGCTTCAATGTGATACACTCACTTTAGAAAGGTGACAGTCTTGGGACTTGAACTCAAGTCCTGAGCGCTGTCTCTGAGATCTTTTGTGCAAGGCTAGTGCTCTACTACATTGAGCCACAGCACCCTTCCATGAAACTACTTTTAAAGATACGTTTTATCTAACCCTTAGTGTTAAAGCATTATCAAGTCAACACATGACAACCATTAATTTAGAATTTTCAAGATAATTGAAAGTTTGGAATAAAAAACTTGGAATTCTTTTTCTAGACTTTCGGAAGCCAACGTACATCTTCCACTGACAGCCTGTCCTGGGCCGCCACACTTGCAGTGTGTGGGTGTGACTCTGGCCTGTGTGTGGCCTGGCTGCCATGCTACATTCTCTGCTGTGGAGAAACACGGACTGCCCCCATCGGTGTGGAGGGACTTCCACTGCCCTGTCTTGGCAGAGTGTAATGTTTTTAAAGGTCACTCAGGTTTTAGCATACTCTTCATTCCTTTTTTTTTTTGGCCAGTACCATAGCTTGAATTCAGGGTCATGCCTTCAGCCAGCATTTTGCTGGTTAGTTGAAGATGGAATTTCCCAGACTTTTCAACCTGCCATCTTCATATCTCAGCTTCTTGAGTAGCTAGGGATTGGTTGCCAGCCTTCCCTCCTCCTTATAGCCGACCAGTATTTGCCATCTGGACACACAGTGTTTGTCTGCCAGTGATGCATCGTGCTGCAGCCAGCACTTGTGACAGGTGTTTTCCTTTCTGTTAGGCCTGTCTTTGGGAAGGGAGTTGCTGGGTCCTGCTTCATGCTCAGGAGGAGTTCCAGCAATGGTGAAGGCACTCCGCTGCATTTTACCGTGGTTCTTGATTTTTCTTCTTAGCTCTTCACTGTCCTGTGCCCCAGCAGGTCCCATGACAGAACTCCCAGGGCTGGTGATTTGGTTTAGCTTTTGTTCTTTGCCAGTTCATGGGTCACCACTAGTTTTCTTGCCATTTCCTTCTCAAGTTTTATGTTTATGTGCAGTCTTCAAAAAGACAACTGCCGAGGCTGGGAAGGTGCTCAGTGGTGGAGTGCTCACCTTGCGTGCACCAGGCTCTGGGTTCTGTCCCTCAGCACCACATATGCCAAAAGAAAAAAGCACCCAAGCCCCGAGTTCAAGCCCCACGACTACAAGAAAAAAACCCAAAAGCAAAAATGTGACACCAGCAGTAGCAATAAACTCAGGCGTAGTGGCAGACCTGTCCTCCGCGCCTTAGGGCTGTGGCGGGCACGGCACAAGGTCACGGCCAACCCGGAGCACATCGTCAGACCCGGCTCAGACATGACTCAGTGAGGAGGATGGGATGAGTCCGTGCTTTCTCTCCATTCTGTCTCGCCCCGCCTGCCCCTGCCCTGTGGCGCCTCACTCTTAGCTGGAGAAAGCAGAGGCTGTACACACACTTTTCCTCCGGGTACCACGCGCCACACACCTGACCGCAGAGGTCTTCTGATGGTCTGGTGACATCACTGTGCACCGAGGCCAGCCTGTCCATTTCCCACTGCCAGATGCACCTGCATCTGCTACGCACAGGAGTTGCCTGTGTGCAGCCCTCTGTCCAGACCAGAGGAGCCTCCGAGGCCCCAGGGGTCAGAATCCTGCCTGGCAGCCCGAAGGGCCATGGTGGGCCTCTCTGCCTATTGCCCTTCTCAACCCGAGCACCTGGCTTCCCGGCCTCTCTTACACTCCACTGCTCCAGCCACCCAACTTCTTGTGGCCCCAGGAGGCTGTGGATTATATCTGTGATCTGTTTTCCCTGAAAATTGAGTTTAGGGAAGTTTTTCATCGTCATCTTTTTTTCCTAAATTCCTAGAAATGGCAGAGGCACAATGCTGACTTACTAATTGTATGCCCAGAAAGGTCCTCAGATAATCTGGGTCCCAGTGGCTCACACCTATAATCATAGCTACTCAGGAAGCTGAGATCTGAGGATCATAGTTTGAAGCCAGCCCAGGCCAACATACCAGATTTTTTTTTTTTTTTTTGTCGATCGTGGGGCTTGAACTCTGGGCCTGGCCGCTGTCCCTCAGCTCTTCAGCTCAAGGCTAGTGCTCTACCACTTGAGCCACAGCGCCACTTCCGGCTTTTTTCTTTTTGCTTATGTGATGCTGAGGAATGGAACCCAGGGCCTCAGGCATGCAAGGCAAGCGCTCTACCACGGAGCCACCTTCCCAGCCCCTTACTGTCCTTATTCTTGTTTGTGGTTACCTTTTCCCATCTCTGACCTATCTCTCCTTGTCTCTGACCCTCAACATTTGAGGACATTTCCCTTAAGATCCCTCAGAATCAGACGAGATGAGGACAGGTCTCCCCAGTGGGACACGGTGGCTGGGGGTGGGGATAGCAGTCAGTGTCTCAGAGAGGACCAGGCTGGTTCTGGAAGGTAGAAGCTGTCACCTAGTAATGAATACACAGAGGAGAGGACCCTGGAAGGGAGAATCTGAGTGTGACCATACAGGAGGGGTAGAGATGTGGGAACGTGAGGAAGGAGGGCAGGCCTGGGCACTGGCCTGGAGCACACCGATTACCACTACTGCATCTGATGACATTTCCCCTTAGTGAGCTGTAGGTCTGGGATGGGGCACCGGATCCTTGTGGTCAGGTCCGGTCCTAGCTCTGCCTCCTAAGAGCACGCAGACCCTTTCTGCCTGCCTGCTCTGCAAGCCTTCCACCCTAGGGGCAGACAGGGCTCGTCCCCTCCTGCCTGGTAACGGGGGGACCAGAGTGCCGCAGGACGCGTCACTGGAAGGTGTGCTGCATCTTGAGGCTGGTTTTCTGGGGAGCTTTGTAAGGAAGGACGCGCATTTCTTTCATTTTTTTGTCAGTCGTGGGGCCTGAGCTCTGGGCCTGGGTGCTGTCCCTCAGCTCTTCAGCTCTACCACTGAGCCACCTTCCCAGCCCCAGGACGAGCATCTCTCGAGCAACATGCAGGACTTCGGCCTGCCCCTCTGGGGTCCCATGAGGCCCTCCGGGGCTCAGGCTGTCCTCCCTGCCCCACTCACGTCCCCAGGGAGCGGTGTCTGTGCTGGAGAGCGCGTGTGTGTGTTGGGGTTACAGTTGCAGTCACTGTTGGGGGGGAGGCTCTAGATTACCAGCAAGCCAAGCCCTGGTCACTCCCCAAGCCCAGTGTGTGAGTTGGCTGGGCTTGTGCAGCCCCACACTTTAGCGGAGGGCCAACGGCCAGCTGGTAAGACCACCCGGCAGAGCTTGGGGCTTCCCCGGTGCAGGGCATTAGCATCGTGGCTGGGTTCCGTGTCGCTGGAAGTCCAACCCGTGTGTGGGCGGAGCAGGCAGTACAGCGGTCACCCTGCTGCCTGGGAATGCGCCACACACTCGCTGGCCAGAGGGCCCAAGGGAGGCCTGACGTTTGCAGAGAACATTCAATTCCAAACCTGATAAAGTCAAACCGGAACATTCTCTAAAGTCCTCCCTCTTGGTGTGAGAAAAATGGTGTCTCTGTATCCTGGAGTTGGCTGTTTTAGATCGGTGAGTTGAGGTTGAGACCTCCTCCCAGAGCTCTTCGTGCTCTTGGCTGCTCAGGCCCAAAACCTCTCTCCTCTGTCTAAGCGTCAGCAAATCCTGTCAGAAGCTGGTCCTTCCATTGCGCTACCGCTGCCCTCGGGCCTAGGCCAACCTCCTTGCCCACCAGTATTTTTGCCATCCCTCTCCGACTCCCCAACAGCTCCCCTCCCAGTATGCCCTGTAATTCTACAACCATCCTCACTAGCGCTCTCCAGGAAGCCTGGTGGAGCGTCTGTGGGCCAGCTCCCACATCTCTCTTCCAGGAGTGTCTGGTGTGTAGAATAGGATGATTGAGGGGCCTCCGGCAATAGCACCTGGAGGTTCTGCACCCAGTTCTTCCTTCAGGGGTTGTGATGATTGTGAACTTCTCCGGTATGTAATTAGGAAGCTTGATCCCAGTCCGGGAGGTCTGGAGCAGGGCCTGGCTCCCCAGCCCAGTGCAGGCTGACAGATTTGCCCTGTACCTGCTTGGTGCTCTCCACCCACTTCCATGCTTGCTTTGTGCCCCGGCTCCACCCCTGAGCCAGGGTGCTTGTGTGTGCCAGCTGTTCCGGGACCTCCTTCCTCCCCAGCGTCCCACTTCTCAACACTGTGTGTGTAGTCTGAGGATGTCAGAGGCTGAGCCTTGTCCTGGTCGCCATCTTCAGGGGACCAGCCTCAGTGGGTCCTGGTCCTCAGCGCATGTGTGCGGTCCAGGGAGGGATCCATCCAGTCGACGGATCTCCACCTGTGCTTCTCCTCAGAGCCACTTTCAGCCTTCGGGTTCTGCCCCTGGGTTTGCCGGGTGGGCTGCTGGGGTATCTGGGAGTCAGCCTGGCAGCAGGTCCTCCAAGGGACCCGGGAGAGTGCGGGGAGAGCAGGGCCACGGGAGCCGAGTGCAGAAGCCGTCCCAGCCCCTCCTCCTCCCGGAGCCCCCCCCCCCCCCCCCCCCGTGCTCTTGTCTCCTGCTTGCTGGTCCCTGAGCATTCCAGCCTCTGCCTCAGCCTTGCCCTGCACTCCTTCCCTGAGGCCCCCTGCCCCGCGGCCCGCAGCCGCGTGTGAGTATCCCCCCGACTCAGTCGGGAGCTGCCCTCCACGCTCCCTTCACTCCGCAGAGGTTCTGAAGACAGATCTTAGGGCCGTGTCTAGTGTGTCTGCTGAAGGCGCCTCCAGGAGCGGTGCGCTTCCTCCGGAAAGCCCGCCGGCAGTCGGAAGGAGCCCCCTCACTGACTTGCGTTTGTTTTCAGAGCCTCCCCAGATGAGCCCCGTGGTGGAGCCGCTGTCGTGGATGCTGGGCACCTGGCTGTCAGACCCTCCGGGAGCCGGGACCTTCCCGACGCTGCAGCCTTTTCAGTACTTGGAGGAGGCGCACATCTCCCATGTAGGCCAGCCCATGCTCAACTTCTCGTAAGTCGTAACCCTGCTCCTGGGCTGCCTGCGTCCGAAAGTCATCCCAGCAAATGGGCAGAGAGAGGCACACACAAGCAGCTTTTGATCACCTGAGGCACAGGCTTAGTAAAAATAGTACTTTCTGGTTCCATTATATATTTTTAAGAGGTTAGGTAGACCACAAACTAGAGACTTGTTAACCCAAATATAAACAAGTACACATGCTTAATGGGATCCCTGATTTCGGTCAATATTCCTGTACAGAAATTTGCCACTGTAGTGTCACTGAAGACAAGAGGACACTTACCCCAGAGCCAGTTGCGGGAGAGGAAGCAGCACTGCGATTCTCAGGTTCTTCCTTGTGTGCCAGCACTGGTGACGGAGCTCCGGAGCTCACTCTCGGCCGGCTCTTTCGCTCATGACTAGTGATCTACCACTCGAGCCACAACTCCAGTTCTGGCTTTTTGCTGGTTATTTGAAAAACAGGAGTCTCTCAGATTTGTCTGCCTGGGCTGAATACAAACCATAATGTTCAGATCTCAGCCTGCTGAATAGCTAAGACTACATGCATGAGCCACTATTGCCTGGCAGATTAATCATCATCATCATCATCATCATCATTTTGGGATAGGGCTTCTCTGTGTAACACACTACACCTTATCTTTTTTTGCTGCTGTTGTGTTGTTTTGGTGCCAGTACTGAGGATTGAACTCAGGGCTTTGTGCTCTTAACTTGGCTTTTTTCTCAAGGCTGGAACTCTACCATTTGAGTCATGCCTCCAGTAGTACCTCTTTTAAAGAGACAGATACTTGGGGTGGAGAAAGGAGGGTCATGATTTGAGGCCAGCATAGGCAAAAGTTAGCAAGTCCCTATCTTAACAATATGCTGGGGCTGGGAAGGTGGCTCAGTGGTAGAGCGCTTGCCTTGCATGCCTGAGGCCCTGGGTTCAATTCCTCAGCACCACATAAGCAAAAAGAAAAAAGCCGGAAGTGGCACTATGGCTCAAGTGGTAGAGCGCTAGCCTTGAGCTGAAGAGCTGAGGGACAGCGCCCAGGCCCAGAGTTCAGGCCCCACAACCGGACCAAAAAAAAAAAAAAGAGTTTCATGGACTTTCCTGCCCAGGTTGGCTTTGAACCTCAATCCTCAGATCTCAGCCTCTTGGGTAGCTAGGATTACAGGCGTGAGGGACTGGCACTGGCTAGGGGCTTATCTTGAAGACAGATCAAGTAAGCGTCGTGCTGGTAGACGATGAGTACCTTCTCAGGCCATGGGTTTAGGCCCTCCATTCAGAGAGGTTTCTCTTCTTTACCATCATGAATTTATAATGATGACCAAACTTAATTAGGAATCTTACCCTAATTCAATGCTTGTTTTCTTTCTACCATGTGAATAAGTCAAGAGGAAGGTTTTGCTGGGATTGTCCACAGTATTTGTGACGTGCCTAGGACTGGGAACCATGCAGGGTGAGATGCAAGAGGGATTCTGGGGAGAGTACACCAGCACATGAAGAACAGATCCCCGCGGGGCGCCCGCGTCTCCCTCTGGTCATCCTAGCTACGTAGGAGGCTCGTGGGTTGAAGCCAGCATGGGCAGAGAAGTCTATGAGATTCTTTTCTTCACAGGTCAGAAGTAGAATGGTTCTCAAGTGGTAGAGCTCGAGCCAAGAGCAAAAAGCGAAGTCAAAGCACAAGGCTCTGATTTTGTTGTTGTTGTTGTTGTTATTTTTGAACAGCTCGAGCCCTTCACAAATTCTCTAAAAACTATGCTAAAATTGAATCTTCTTCACATTCTACCCTTCACTTGTTTTAACATTGTTGAGCTAATGCTTTCCTGTCTCAGAGTGTAACATGGGTGCTTCTTGGGTCTCAAGCCATCCAGCTAGCATTACCGTCAATCTTTCCATTCTAGCTTGAGGAGTACTAAGGAAACTGTAGTGTTCTCTCTGAGCCAATGCTCCTCAAGACAATGTCAAGTCTCCTGAGGACCCACCACATTTCTAATCTTTGTCTTGAGACACGGCCTGAGTTTGAGCCTCCGTGCTACCATAACATTTTTTTTTTTAAGTTCTTGGGGCTAGGAGCCTTGACCAGTCAGTGTCCAATGATAGATGCTGGAAGCCTTAGGTTGGATCCCTGCTCCCCTCCCCTCCCGAACACACCCTTTCTGCTAGTGGTCTGCCCAGAAAATGATGGAGGAAGTAAAAAGGAGCCTGAGGGGGTGGAGCCTGGAGGACCAGCCCCAGCATCAGGTTTCACAGCTCTGTGGCCACAGGGTTGCTGTTCCTTCCAAGGGTGGTGGACAGCTAGCAGGCCAGGTGCTCTGCGGTGAGGTTAGCTGTCTGGTTCACCTCTTTGACTCCCCATCCAGGTTCAATTCCTTCCACCCGGACACCCGCAAACCGATGCACAGAGAGTGTGGCTTCATCCGCCTCAAGCCCGACAGCAACAAGGTGGCCTTTGTCAGCGCTCAGAATACAGGTACTCCCTGCCTGCCTGGAACCAGGGCATGCTGCTCAGGGTGCTACCCATCTCAAGTGACTTGGGGTGTGTCCCTGCTCCTGGATGCCTGTCTGTGGGGACAGTGGAGGCATGGTATCCTTCAGGCTGTGAACTGCAGCTTGACATCCTCCTAACGTCCTCCCCAGCAGATGCTGCTCAAGGGACAGGGGTCAAAGAGCAGCCAGCCTGACTGCAGGGTCTGTCTGGACATCAGCCAAGCTCATTACTTACAAATTACTCAAAAACAGCCTGCATGCCCTTGCCCTTGACCTTGACAGCTCCTGTGGAGTATGTACCAAGCCTGACACGCAGCTGCCCAGGGCACTGCTAGTGTGGTAGAAGACAGAAGGGAGCCAAGAGGCTACCCAGGTCCATCCTTTTCCCTTTACCCAGGGTGCAGGCTGGGCTCTGCCTGGGGTGGAGCTGCTCCCAGGGCTGGCTGCCCAGCCCTTTGAGGAGTTCTAGGAAGGAAGTGTGGGGTCCAGGACATCTACACAGGAGTGGCCCTGCACAGAGTACCTGTCCATGAAGAGAAACACAAAAGCAAAGACCCTGTATCCTGCATCTGTGTTCCCTGCGACTCAGAAGGATGAGACAGGAAGATTGCTCAGTTCACAAATTCCAGACCAGGGCTGGGAAGGTGGCTCAGTGGTAGAGTGCTTGCCTTGCATGCCTGAGGCCCTGGGTTCGATTCCTCAGCATCACATAAGCAAAAAGAAAAAAGCCGGAAGTGGCGCTGTGGCTCAAGTGGTAGAGCGCTAGCCTTGAGCTGAAGAGCTGAGGGACAGCGCCCAGGCCCAGAGTTCAGGCCCCATGACTGGACCCAAAAAACATAAAAAAAAAAAAAAAAACAAATTCCAGACCAGCCTAGAGAACATGAGGCCCTGTTGCAAGAAAAATAAAAAGGAACTGGATGTGTGGCTTAAGTGATAGAGCGTGTGCCTAGCATCATAAACAAAACAGTTACGAGTCTTTTCCTTCTTGATATCTAGAAGGCAAAGTACAAACAAAGAGAAATATTATACCTGGATGTTGCAAAGTGTAGATTTCCCACTGAGTTCCTGACTACCCCTCGGAGAGCAGAGCCGTGGAGGCGCGGCGGTCTGGAAGTGCTAACTGGCCCTCCCTTTCAGGCATCGTCGAGGTGGAGGAGGGCGAGGTCAACGGGCAGGAGCTGTGCATCGCATCCCACTCCATCTCCAGGATCTCCTTTGCCAAGGGGCCCCACGTAGAGCAGGTGAGCCGCCGGTCCTGCCAGGAGCGTCTGAGAATACTCAGAGTGGTTGGCGCGTCACTCTGCCCTCGGTCCCCGCGTCGGTGTTACCCCTTCACCTGCCACCGGCAGGCCTGTCTGGGGTCCCTCTCTCCTTCCTTAAACTCCCACCACGGGATGTGGATGAGCCCAGCTGAGGGACAGGCAGCAGGTGGTTGTCAGGTCTGTTATTTCCTCTTGTAAGCAGCCCTTTGTATTTGTGTTATACAGCTCTTTTTTTTTTTTTTCCCCTGAGTCTGGGCACTGTCCCTGAGCTCTTGCTCAAGGCGAGCGCCCCACCACAGGGCCACTTCAGGTTTTCTGGTGGTTCATTGGAGTGAAGAGTCTCATTAACTTTCCTGCCCCAGGCTGGCTTTGAACCAAGATCCTCAGATCTCAGTTTCTGAGTAGCTAGAATTACAGGCATGAGCCACTGCCTAGCTTGTGTTACACAATTCTGCAAAGGTATCTGTTGCATATATTTCTCATAGTTAAGTGATTGTCAGGGGGTAGGTCCATATTAAGCATTGGTGGATGCATTTCTCATAGTTAAATGATGGTCAGGGTAGGTCCACATTAAATGTGGTAGATTCTGGCAGGTTGTTTTCTTGGCCCCTTGCATTTGCTAGCCAGGTGCTCTACCACTCTGCCAGCCCATTTTTTTGCACTAAGATGTTGCTTTTTGCGTGGGCCAACCTAGACCACAGTCCTGTGTTGGTGCTTCCCCTGGGTGCTTCGTTGACAAGCACCTGCTACTGTGCCCAGCCCTTGTGCTGCCCTGTAGCTAGGAATGACAGTTTAGGTAAAACTTCTCAAGCCAGGTTCCCAAGTAGCTAGGATTAGAGGCTTGAGCCAGTGCGCTCAGCTGCTTTCTTAACAGTTCCACTCCTGCTAGGATTGCAGGTGAGTCACTAGACCCCACTCCTTCACTTCCATCTTAGGTCTTTCAAATCTGATAAATGAACCTTGGTTTGGAAAGGGTTCATTTCCCCTGCTGTTGGCCGTTTTATTCCTTCCTCCTTGAAGAGAGGACAGCGGGGCAGTAGAACTGTGGCCTCCTCAGTGTGTACTTGCTGTGGGTGGGTATGAGCTATGGCTGCTAATCTGTTTTCACTTTCTGTCTCGTGTTTTCCAGACTGTGTTTAGTACAGTTCAGTCTGCCCTAGGTGCCAGGCTATTTAGTAGTCTCCAGGGTGTTTGCTATATGTATCTGGAGTCAGGTTCCCACTGGGGTGAGATTTTCTGCTCCAAAATAACAATGTCTGGTGTTCTTGGGTTTTCTTTCCTTTCTTTTTTTTTTTTTCTTTCATGTGGGTGTGAGTGTGGGTGGGTGGGTCCTGGGGCTTGAACTCAGGGCCTGGCTGCTGTCCTTGAGCTCTTTTTGCTCAAGGCTAACACTGTACCACTTAAGTGGTACAACCACTCCACTTCTGCCTTTTTCATGATTAATTGGAGATAAGAGTTTCGTGGACTTTTCTTCAAGCTATGAATTGTGATCCTCAGATCTCATCCTCCTAAGTAGCTGGAATTACAGGCATGAGCCACCATACCAGGCTTCCAGTTCATCTCTTATTTGATTTTATTTTTAGTATATGAAAATACCAGATGATATTTTCTCAATTAGCAGATGGAACACAGGATAGTGTTTCTCTTTGATTCTCCCAAGAACCTCAATATCATCAGTCATAAAGGATTCTGTTTATTAAACGATCTGTAATACCTGCACAGGGTACCAGAGGTGCTTGAAGTAAAGAACAGTGTGTTCTACCAAGCTTCCAAACCCATACTGAGGCAACATATGAAGAAGCCTGGTAAAACACACTCACGCCCGTCACCCCGGCTGCTCAGGAGGCTGAGATCTGAGGACCGCAGTTCAAAGCCAGTCTGGGCAGAAAAGTCCGTGAGACTCTGATCTCCAATAAACCACCAGAAAACCGGAAGTGGCACTGTGGCTCAAACGGTAGAGCACTCACCTTGAGCTGAAGAGCTGAGGGACAGCGCCGAAGCCCTGAGTTCAAGCCCCACGACCAACAAAAAAAAAAAAAAGAGGGGGAAGGAACAACAACTGGGTGCTAGTAGCTCACAGCGGAGTTTCTAGCTACTCAGGAAGCTGAGGTCTGATAACTGAGGTTCAAACCCAGTCCTGGCAGACAAGTCCAAGAGATTCTTGTCTCTAATTAACCAGCAAAAAGCCAGAAATGGAGGTGTAGCTTAAGTGGTAGAGCACCAGCCTTGAGTAGAAAAGCCAATCAAGAGCTCAAGGCTTGAGTTGACTTCGAACCATGCTTCTTAGTTCTCAGCTTCTTGAGTAGCTAGGATTACAGCAGGATTACAAGCGTGAGCCACCAGTGCCTGGCTTCAGTGATTTTTTTTTTAAACTCACAAGCTGAGTGCTGGTGGCTCACACCTGTAATCCTAGCTGCTCAGGAGGCTGAAATCTGAGGACCATGGTTCAAAGCCAGCCGGGGAGGAAAGTCCTTGAGACTCTTTTTTTTTTTTTTGGGGGGGGGGGGGCGGTGTCCGGTCGTGGGGCCTGAACTCTGGGCCTGGGCGCTGTCCCTCAGCTCTTCAGCTCAAGACTAGCACTCTACCACTTGAGCCACAGTGCCACTTCCAGCTTTTTTTTTTCTTTTTGGCTTATGTGGTGCTGAGGAATCGAACCCAGAGCCTCATGCATATAAGGCAAGCGCTCTACCACTGAGCTACCTTCCCAGCCCTCCATTGGTTTTTTTTTTTTTAAGAGTATGTTATTTAGTTTCCATAAGTTTGTGAATTTTCCAGTTTTTTGTTTTTTATTTTCAGTTGTGGAACTTGAACTCAGGACTTAGGTACTGTCCCTTAGCCCTTTTTTGCTCAAGGCTAGTGCTCTACCACTTTAGAGCCATGGCCCCACTTTCAGTTTTTGAGTGATCAATGGGAGATAAGAATCTCACGGACTTAAGCTGGGTGCTGGTGGCTCATGCCTGTAATCCTAACTATTCAGGAGGCTGAGATCTGAGGAGCTCGGTTCAAAGTCAGCCTGGGCAGGAAAGTCCGTGAGACTCTTATCTCCAATAAATCACTAGAAAACCAGAACTGGCGCTGTGGCTCAAGTGGTAGAGCGCTCACCTTGAGCTGAAGAGCTGAGGGACAGCGCCCAGACCCAGAGTTCAAGCCCTATCACCGACCAAAAAAAAAAAAATAGGCCCATTTGAAATACCTGATGTGTTTCTGTTTAGCCCTGCTCAGCCTCCAGCCCTGGGCCACTTGTCTGTGGGCCTCTAGCCCCAGCTTGGGGCCTGCACTACCTCCCCGCACTCAGCCTCACATCAGGGCAAACATGCCCAGCCAGGGCCTCCACCTCCCTCCTTCCTGGGCCTTGGTCCTTGCTGCCATATGGTTCCTTGGAGGTTTAAAGATCTTCTGGCTTTTCTCTGTAGAGGGCTGGGGAATCACAGAGCAGTCTGTATGCTCTGAGGGTTCCTGGGTGGGTGGAGAGGGGCCTGTGGAGCCCGGTGGCCACTGGTCACAAGTCTACACTTGCATCCTTGTACCACCCAGCATCCCAAACTAGGGCTGACTCAGGACACAACCCAAGTTCTTGTGGACAGAGCCGCATGATGTGTTCTGGTGGATTTGTGGCTCCAAAGGTGCTGGTACCAAGCTCTCCAGAGGAGCATTTGGCACAAGCTCCACTGAAGAACAGAGCTTTGGGCAGGTCTTAGTTGAGGCAGGGTCTGGAGCGCTTCTGGACAGCATTCACGGTTGGTCTCCGGAGGCGGCCAAGGGGATGGGACAGAACACCATGGTCTTGGTCTTGGCTTGCTCCCAGGTAGTGGAGCAGCATGGCTGGGGCGGGGGGGGGGGGGAGGTTGGGGGAGGGAGAGGGGTCATGGTGGGGAGGGGTCATGGGGGGGCACTCACAGCCCGAGGCTGGTTCCTGGCACAGGGGAATGAGTGCTTTCTTGGTGGTTGAATTTTTTGGAGGTAAAATGTAGATGCTTTGACTTGTTCTTTGTTCAGATTACTCGAAAATTCAGACTGAATTCTGAAGGCAAGCTTGAACAAACAGTCTCCATGGCGACCACCACACAGCCCATGAGTCAGCATCTCCACGTCACCTACAGGAAGGTGACCCCGTGACCCTGTGAGTGCACAGCCCGGAGGGCCTGGCTCCGTCCAGCCCCAAGTCGGGGCCTGCTGTGGAGGAGCCGTGGCCGTGTTGTCCAGATGTTGCTGTGATGCCACAGAAAACCAAATAAAAGGCCTTTATTTTTATGGCTGAGGGTTTTGAATATTACCTCTGTGCAGACTGTACATTGTTTGTGTTTGTCTGCCCCCCCTCCCCCTCCCGCAGCCCTGGACGGAAACCTGCTCCACAGGGCTGTACTGCTGGCCTTCATTCTGGCTATGTTGTTTGTTTGTTTGTAATTGTCGGAGGGCAGGATGCTGGAGGCTCACACCTATAATCCTAGCTACTCAGGAGGCTGATACTTTAGGATCACAGTTCGAAGCCATCTGGAGCAGTAAAATCTGTGAGACTCTTCTCTCCAATAAACTAGTCAGAAAAAGGCACAAGTGGTGCTGTGGCTCAAGTAGTAGAGTGCTCGCCTTGAGCAAAAGAAGCTCGGGACAGTGCCCAGGCCCAGTGTTCAAACCCCAGAACCAGAGAAAAAAGGAAGAAAAATTGTTGGAGGATTTTTGCTTATTTGGTTTTTGAAATAAGGTCTCCATTTGCACCCCAGGCTGGCCTGGGATTTTCTTTTTTTTTTTTTGGTTGGTCGTGGGGCTTGAACTCTGGGCCTGGGCGTTGTCCCTCAGCTCTTCAGCTCAAGGCGAGCGCTCTACCACTTGAGCTACAGCGCCACTTCCGGTTTTCTGGTGGTTTATTGGAGATAGGAGTCTCACGGTCTCTCCTGCCCGGGCTGGCTTTGAACCGTGATCCTCAGATCTCAGCCTCCTGAGTAGCTAGGATTACAGGCGTGAGCCACCAGCGCCTGGCTAGCCTGGGATTTTCTATGCAGCCTTAATTGGCCTAGCCCTCAAAATGCTGATTTAGCCTCCTGAGTGCTAGGATTGTACACATGAACCATCTTGTTTGGCTGCCTACAGTTTGGACAAGATGTAAAATTCTTATTCCTTATCAGAGTAAACAACAAGTTGAAGGCAAAAAAACAGCCAAGAGCAGCCCAGTGCAGAGCAGGGTGATACCAGTAGTGCTAAGTGTAAGGTATATTAAGTAGGAAGGTTTCATTAGGTAGCCGATGAAGAGAACACCACACGCTATTCAGGCAGGAAAAGAAGTTTATTTACCAAACTGCGGCCCCCACCATGCATGGTGGAGAGGCATGGCTGAAAAGGAAAGGGGGGGGAGGGCGACTCACCTCTGGGCCAGGACATATGTAGGCCAGGGACAGGAAGAGGTGTGGCCAGGGACAGGAAGAGGTGTGGCCACACTGGATCTGGATGTGACCTCAGGGTCTGGGACCCTCCTAAGGTCAGATGGGAGGCCTGTGACCACAGGTGGCCCAGGATGTGACCTAGCAGGAGGGGAAGGTGACTGCTTCCAGGTCTGCCAGTTACCTAGGTAACAGATACTGGGCGGAAACTTAGCCAAGATGGAGGGAGGGATCCCTGTGCAGACCTTACACTAACTACCACTGACAATGAGGCTGGAGCTCAAGGCCAACCTTGACAACCAACGTGGCATCTCTTTTGTGTGTGTTTGTGTGCATGGGTCACTGGTCCTTGGGCTTGAACTCAGGGCCTGAGCCCTGTCCCAGCTGTGTTGCTCAACGTTAGCACTCTACCACTTGAACCACAGCTCTACTCTGGCTTTTGGTGGTTAATTGGAGATAAGAGTCTCATGGAGGCCAGGCACTAGTGGCTCACATCTGTAATCCTAGCTACTCAGGAGGCTGAGATCTGAGGATCTTGGTTCAAAGCCACCAATAAGCCACCAGAAAACCAAAAGTGGCACTGTGGCTCCAAGTGGTAGAGCGCTCGCCTTGAGCAAGGAAATCTCAAGTACAGCACTTGGTCCTTGACTTCCATCCAACTGAGTACAGACACCACCACAAAAGGTGTGGACTTTCCTGTCCAGGCTAGCTTCTACCCACAATCCTCTGATCTCAGCCAAGTTACCAGCGTGAACCAGCCGCTGGCACCCGGCTTCTCGTCCCTCTTAAGAGTGAAGAGTTCAGAACGTTCCAGTGCAGGCTTTGCCAGTACTGTGCTTCCGATCAACTGGTCAGTATCCAAAGACCCCAATACCTGCCATCTGGCTTCCCCCACTTCTTAACTGGGATTTACAAAGGAATTTCGGACGTAATGACATTTGCCCCTACAAGTTTGTTATGTATCTGAAAACAAAGGCCTTTTTCTTGTTTGTTGAGACAGTTCCGTTTTGTAAGCTATCATTGAGTTGGAGATTCTCTCGCCCCCAGCTTCCTGTGTGCTGGGATTACAGGTCTTTACCACCACACCCAGAAGCCTTTTCTTAACACACCACTGCATCAGAAGCCTCACCTGGCACACAGACATGAGTAATGCGGTCAGGAGACGCTCCAGCTAACAGTGGAGGTTCTAGGGTTCTAGGGAAGGCAGCAGGGTGGGGAGGTTCTAGGGAAGGCAGCAGGGTGGGGAGGTTCTAGGCTCGGGTAGGCGGCAGCAGCAGGGTACAGAGGGTTCTAGGGTTCTCGGGAAGGCAGCAGCAGGGTACAGAGGGTTCTAGGGTTCTCGGGAAGGCAGCAGCAGGGTGCAGAGGGTTCTAGGTTCTGGGGAAGGAAGGCAGCAGCAGGGTGGGGAGGGTTCTGGGGTTCTAGGCTCTGGGGAAGGCAGCAGCAGGGTGCGGAGGGTTCAGGGTGAGGAGGGTTCTGGGGTTCTAGGGCTCTGGGGAAGGCAGCTGCAGGGTGCGGAGGCTTCTGGTTTCTCACTGCTCTGGTGGAGCTCTGGGGCACAGGCCTCTGAAAACCTGGAGGTGAGCGCTGCTGAAAGCCAGGTGTGCTGAGGGCGTCCACCTTCCCCTCCCCCCCCCCATGCATGCCAGCACCGCAGCCCAGCTGTGGGAGGTGAAGAGAACTAGGAACATGGTGCCCAGGGCAGTGTTCACACATGGTGTGAGGCTGGATCCCCAGCCACCCTTCGTGTGTGGAAGCGGGGTCTGTGCTGGGGCTGGAAACTCTCCGGGGTTGCTCAGGTCCTCGCACGGCAGCACAGGATTGAGCGCCATCTTGTTTGTGTGGGAGCCCACAGGTCTAGCACAGGACTCTTTCTGCCCACCCTCCCTCCTTTCGTCCTGAGCTGGGGAGGAGACCCAGGGACTTGCTCTGCCGCCGAGGTCCCTGAGACCCCCAGCCTCTCTGTCTCTTCCCCTTCAGCCTTTCACCTGGAAGCTGTGCCCTGTGGGTGAGCTGAGGACTGCAGCTCCACCCTGCTTGGCATTCACTGGCTGGGACTCGCTCTGAAGCTCGCACATCCAACAGGCTAAGTTGGCTACCTCAAGTTCAGGCCAGAAAGCTAGCAGGAGCACCTCACGCTTTCCCTCTGGCTATGAGTTTGGGGAGCAAGGCTGCTGGAGCTGGTACTGGGGCTTGAACTTTGGGCCGGGGTCCTGTCTCTCCACTTTTTTGCTCAGGCTAGGGCTCTAACATTGGAGCCACAACTCTACTTGTGGTTTTTTGTTGGAGAGTAATCTCATGGGCGTCTCCTGCTTGGACTGGCTTTGAATCACAATCCTTACGCTCAGCCTCCTGAGTAGTTTGGGTTTCAGGTATGGCACAATAGTGACCCTTTGAATTTTTGGATTTTTTTGTCAGTCGTGGGGCTTGAACTCGGGGCTTGGGCACTATCCCTGAGTTTTTGTGCTTAAGGTTAGCATGCTACTACTTTGAGCCACAGCTCCACCTCGTTTTCTGGTGGCTCATTGGAGATGAGTTTCACAGCCTTTCCTGCCTGGGCTGGCTTTGAACTATACTCTTCAGATCTCAGCCTGTGAGCCACCAGCATCTGGCCCATTTCTGAGTTTTTAATCTTGAAACATGACTTTCTTGTACTGGAAACAGAACAAAGTTTGCTCCAAGAAGAGCTGAAGCCCAGCATCCACTTTGTCCACACGTCTTGCTCCCTTCTTCATCTGCCGGCCACTGGACAGCCTTGGATGGCATTGGAAGGGTCCACCAGAATTCGACCCCACGCAGCCACAGCGCAGCCTTCGGGATCCTCTGCCCACGTTTCCGAGGGCTGGGAGCCTGATGGGAGGAGACAGGACTTTGCAGAAGGGAAAGGGGGCAGGGGAGGAGCTGAAGCTGGGCCCTAAGGCAGGGAGGGCGGTTTGAGGCCGGGACTGGCTTTGCGGTGGCTCCGGGGCCTTGTGTACAAATCCCTGTCCTGTGGGACTCTAGCTTCACCCCGAGGCTGGTGAGGCTGGAAGACCTGAGCAGTTATCAGGCTCAGCCCTGTGCTGTACAGAGGGGAAGCAGGCCGGAGGGCGGGTCTGGTCCCCGGGTGGCGGGCAGATGGGGCCGGCCCAGCCAGGCAGCTGAGCAGCTGGTGTTTGTTCCTGGTGTGAGTGTGCCAGCACTCGTGCCAGCATGGGCACGTGTGAACCCTGTAGGGCACAAGGGGAGAAGCTGGCCTCTGCCTGTTGGTCTCAGGAGCCCTGACACCTGCCTTGCACTAGTGGGAGCGCAGGGTGGGCACCAGCCGGACTCCAGTCCCAGCAAAGGCTGGGCCGCCCAGGGCACGCCGAAGGCGGGCAGCGCTGCAGTCCTGAGAGCGAGCATGGCTCCGGAGCCACGGGGCGTGGCACTCGAGGTGAGCGTGCCTCGGTGAAGGACAGAGGCCTCAAGCGCTGCCAGCTGAGCACCTCTGAGTGCCCCCCGTAAGCCAAGAGCACACGATGCCAGCTTGCTCGGGCTGGAGGTCTTGTGGCCCCCATTCCAGCCAGCGGGGCCTGGTTTCTACTCAGCCCCCCACACACACACCTGCGACAGTAAATGAAGGCTCCACTTGCTGAGCCGTCCGCACACCCTCAACTGTGTGCCCTCCTCGCTCTTCCCACGCACATGTCCTGGATTTGTCAGTGTAAATTTGGAAACAAAGTGCTTTTTTGGGGGCCAGTCCTGGCACTTGAAATCAGGGCCTGAGCTCCGTCCCTGAGCCTCAAGGCTCAGGCTAATACCTACCACTTGAGCCACAGCGCCACTTCCAGTTTTTTCTGAGTAGTTTATTGGAGATACATCTCACAGACTTTCCTGCCCAGGCTTTGAACCGCAATCCTCAGATCTCAGCCTCCTGAGTAGCTAGGATTATAGGTGTGAGCCACCGGTGTGTGGCAAAAACCAAGTTCTTCCCAAGTGCTACACAGCTCTCTGGGCCTGGGGAACTTGGTCTCTAGAAGCGAAGACAGCTGGGCCTGTGGTTGGGGATGGCCCTCAGCTGCAGTGTGGGCCTGTGGTTGGGGATGGCCCTCAGCTGCAGTGTGGGCCTGTGGTTGGGGATGGCCCTCAGCTGCAGTGTGGGGCAGTGGTGGGGGATGGCCCTCAGCTGCAGTGTGGGGTGGTGGTTGGGGATGGCCCTCAGCTGCAGTGTGGGCCTGTGGTGGGGGATGGCCCTCAGCTGCAGTGTGGGGCAGTGGTGGGGGATGGCCCTCAGCTGCAGTGTGGGGTGGTGGTTGGGGATGGCCCTCAGCTGCAGTGTGGGGCGGTGGTGGGGGATGGCCCTCAGCTGCAGTGTGGGCCTGTGGTGGGGGATGGTCCTCAGCTGCAGTGTGGGGCGGTGGTGGGGGATGGCCCTCAGCTGCAGTGTGGGCCTGTGGTTGGGGATGGCCCTCAGCTGCAGTGTGGGCCTGTGGTTGGGGATGGCCCTCAGCTGCAGTGTGGGGCGGTGGTGGGGGATGGCCCTCAGCTGCAGTGTGGGCCTGTGGTGGGGGATGGCCCTCAGCTGCAGTGTGGGGCGGTGGTGGGGGATGGCCCTCAGCTGCAGTGTGGGCCTGTGGTTGGGGATGGCCCTCAGCTGCAGTGTGGGGCGGTGGTGGGGGATGGCCCTCAGCTGCAGTGTGGGGCGGTGGTTGGGGATGGTCCTCAGCTGCAGTGTGGGGCGGTGGTTGGGGATGGCCCTCAGCTGCAGTGTGGGCCTGTGGTGGGGGATGGCCCTCAGCTGCAGTGTGGGGCGGTGGTTGGGGATGGCCCTCAGCTGCAGTGTGGGCCTGTGGTGGGGGATGACCCTCAGCTGCAGTGTGGGCCTGTGGTGGGGGATGGCCCTCAGCTGCAGTGTGGGGCGGTGGTGGGGGATGGCCCTCAGCTGCAGTGTGGGCCTGTGGTGGGGGATGGCTCTCAGCTGCAGTGTGGGGCGGTGGTTGGGGATGGCCCTCAGCTGCAGTGTGGGGCAGTGGTCTTGTGAGGTGGGGGCCCAGTAGCTCAGTGCTGCGTGGCAACCCCCCTGAGCAATGCCAGGGGCATCTGGGAGGCTGCTCTAACGGCCTCGGGCCGGCGGCACACCGCAGCCGACACGCACTGCGTCTCTGGGATAGGCGTGATTTTGAGGGTTTTTAAGATGGGAATTTGAGTGCCCACACTTATCTTGTTTCCCCATTTTGCACAGTGAGTGCGGTTTCATGGGGCTCCCGGTGTTCCCGGGCCATGGGACCTGGAGCTTCTGCATGTCTATTGCCACATCTGACCCTGGGCTATCACAAGTTTCTGCTGTTGGAAAAAGGCAGCAGAAACTTTCAGTCTAACCAGTCTACATGGACGCCCAGAAACCTTTCCTCCATTATTCTCAGATAGACTGCGCCTCCTCGTTCCCTAGGAAGACTACTCACAGTGACCCAGTCTAAAAGGGGGCTCTCAGCCTGCTAGTTCAGCTTGAGTGGCGTTCTGCAGGGCCAACTGGAGAGCCAGCTGCTGGGCTGGGCCCAGCCACGTGGGTGCCCAGAGAGAGGGCAGGCGCAGCCTGTGTGCACCTGAGCGCCTTCCCGCACGCCGCTGGTGAGCGCCGAGGGGGCCACAGGGCGGCTGCAGGGTGGCTCAGACATAGTGCATCTCTGGGGCTGGACTTGCTCAGATCTGAACTCTCCAGAGGTCTGGGTGGACACATCTGTGGGGGTCGCATAAGAACAGGCACAAGGATAGCAGGAGCCGAGGCCCCATCTGCCTTCACGGGTGAGGTTTTACTGGGATCCAGCCCTCCCGCACTCTTCGTCAGACATGCTGTTCCGTGCTGCGTGCCCCGGTTCCCCGCCACCGAGCCCCTCAGGCTGCTCCCAGCACACAAGCCCGTAAACCACGGCTCCTGCTTTGGTCAGGCACGGTCCCCTGCAAATGAAATGCACAGGGCCTGCTAGCCTCAAGGATCGAGGCCAGCCCATGTCCTGAGACGGTCCCTTCCCAGACTGGGGCCTGGGGCAGCAGGTAAGAGTGTGGTCTTGCCAGGTCCCTTCCTCTGGGGCCTGGAACTGGCCCTGGCTTTCTGGCAGATTCCAGAAGAGCCACAGGTAGCATGAGAACGCCTCTCCCCGCCCCAGAGGCTGGGTCTGCAGAGCAACTGGGCTCAGGTGCGGTTACCTCCCATCCTGCGGCAGCAGTCCAGGCTGTGGCCCTGACCAGACGGGCAGCTCATCTCTCTGGCAGCAGCAGGAAGAAGGCAGCCTTCAGGAAGCGGCCAAAACTACAGAGTGCCGCCACAAACCAGTGGGAACGAAGGCCAGGGTCCGCGCTGACCACACACTTGAGGACGTCAGTCTGCGAGGAAGAGGACAGTCAGGCAGCCAGGCCCCAGCCCGGCAGCCTCGCTCTGGAATGCCTGTGGTGGAGTCCCCTCTGACTGAAGTTCCAGCAGGGAACCTAGTTCGCTGGACAGGGAGAGGCTCCGGTGTGGAGAGGGGCAGGCACACACCACAGCTTCCGGGAAGGACACACCCGGCTGCAGATCTTTCTTTGTGAAATGAGAGACTGGCTTTTCTAGAAAACCAAGGAGCCCTAGGATGTCTTAGGTCCCTTCTGGAATTATCCACTCCTTGGCTGCTCGTTTCTGCCTATTCCTGCTCGAGTGTCCCCTGGCTTGGGCTCTGATGGCCACCCATCTCACCCGGCGGCACGGCCGGCTCCGCAGGGGAGGGGGCGGCAGGGATGGCCACCAGGGTCTCAGAGGGCCCTGACCCCAGGAATTCTCAAACCCAATGTCCCTCACAGGGGCCCACATTGTCCCTGCCCATCACTGCCCACACTAAGGAGAGCAGCCTCCACCCCAGAGCCTGGGCATACCTACAGTTTGGCCATCCAGGTGGTCATGGGTCACGTGTGGGGACAGAGGGGCGCCAGGCGGTCATGGGTCACGTGTGGGATGAGGGAGGGGCACCAGGCGGTCATGGGTCACGTGTCAGCCGCGCATGGGGTCGAAGGGCCAGCCTGACCCCCACCCCGCTGGCCTCCCCTCCTCTGGGGTGGGCAGGACTAGGCTGAGAAGGATGGTAACGTTGCTGTGCACAGTACTGAGATAGCCCCTGGCCTGCAGTGGGCCTGAGTCCGGCCTACCCCGGGCCAAGGCCACGGTGCCCTCTTGCAACCAGGCACACTCTGGGACAGCGTATTCTGGGGGCCCCTGCCGGGGTCCAGGAGCAGAGGATTGGGGGTGCTGCAGCTCTGAGGCCCTGCCTGCCACCTGCACTTCTGCCGTCCCTCCCATGTCCTCTCCTTCCATGCTCCACCTCCTGCACCACACGCTGGTGGGCCCCCCCCCCCGCCCCAGGGCTCACCCATCCTCCACGTCACACACACACACACACACACACACACACAGGGCTCACCCATCCTCCACACCACACACACACACACACACACACACACACACACAGAGGGCTCACCCATCCTCCACACCACACACACACACACACACACACACAGAGGGCTCACCCATCCTCCACACCACACACACACACACACACACACACACACACACACAAGAGGGCTCACCCATCCTCCATACCACACACACACACACACACACACACAGAGGGCTCACCCATCCTCCACATCACACACACACACACAGAGGGCTCACCCATCCTCCACACCACACACACACACACACACACACACACACACAGAGGACTCACCCATCCTCCACACCACACACACACACACACACACACACAGAGGGCTCACCCATCCTCCACGTCACACACACACACACACACACAGGGCTCACCCATCCTCCACACCACACACACACACACACACACACACACACACACAAACACAGAGCTCACCCATCCTCCACACCACACACACACAGAGCTCACCCATCCTCCACATCACACACACACACACACACAGAGGGCTCACCCATCCTCCACACCACACACACACACACACACACACACACACACACAGAGGGCTCACCCATCCTCCACATCTCACACACACACACACACACACACACACACAGAGCTCACCCATCCTCCACATCTCTCACACACACACACACACACACACACACACAGAGGGCTCACCCATCCTCCACATCACACACACACACACAGAGGGCTCACCCATCCTCCACATCACACACACACACACACAGAGGGCTCACCCATCCTCCACATCACACACACACACACACACACACAGAGGACTCACCCATCCTCCACGTCACACACACACACACACACAGGGCTCACCTATCCTCCACACCACACACACACACACACACACACACACACACACAGAGGGCTCACCCATCCTCCACACCACACACACACACACACACACACAGAGGACTCACCCATCCTCCACACCACACACACACACACACACACACACACACAGAGGGCTCACCCATCCTCCACGTCACACACACACACACACACACACAGGGCTCACTCATCCTCCACACCACACACACACACACACACACACACACACACACACACAGAGGACTCACCCATCCTCCACACCACACACACACACAAACACAGAGCTCACCCATCCTCCACACCACACACACATGCACACACACACACACACACACAGAGCTCACCCATCCTCCACACCACACACACACACACACATGCACACACACACACACAGGGCTCACCCATCCTCCATACCACACACACACACACACACATGCACACACACACACGCACAGGGCTCACCCATCCTCCATACCACACACACACATGCACACACACATGCACACACACACACACACACAGGGCTCACCCATCCTCCATACCCCCCACACACACACACAGGGCTCACCCATCCTCCACACCACACACACACACACACACACACACACACACACACACACACACACACACGGCTCACCCATCCTCCGCGCCGCCGGAGCCAGGTTGCCAGTGTCTTGCGCACAAACTCCCCCAGGCAGTCCACCAGGGCGTGAACCAGGGCAGGTTGGGCCTGCCGCACGCAATCCACCGCCAGACCAGCCGCCACGGCGTACAGAGAGACCACCTTCCCCCAGGTGATGCCTGTGGGGAGAGACCACTGCCCGTCAGCAGGAGCACAGGTCGCCCCTTCCGCCCCCCTGGGCCGGCAGCACGAAGCCCAGGTGCCGCCCGAAGAGGAGCCTGGCCGTCCTCCCAGGCAGGTGTTCAGGGAACCCCTCGGGCGGTCATGGGGGCCGGCTCCAGTGCATGCCTGCCTGAGCCTGGTTGTGTGGAGGATGGAGGATGTGGCCGCAGGGCAGGGGCGGTGGCGGTCTGCGCCGAGGCTGACGACACCGGCAACTTCGCAGTGCACTGTTGTCTAAATCGTGCTGCCAGCGGACAGGACCGGGTCTGCCTCTGCTCCTTATACAGATGAGGCCTCAGGGGTGCCTGCCCCAGACCGCTCACATGGGGCCAGAACCAAGATGCAGACACCTCCGGGAAAGGGCAGATGGATGGAAACGATGTGGGAGGAATGCCTGAAGTCAGGACATGTTTCCCCAAGAGAGTGGATAAATCACTGAGAAAAATAAACCTCTCCAGACCCAGACTGTGAACAACACAGAGGCTGAGGAGGGCCGAGGGTGTGGCTCTGCGTAGATTACCTGCCTAGCACTCACAGGCCCCAGGTCCAAGCCCTGCACTGCGAGGAGGAGGGGGAGTGTGAAAAAGATGACAGGGCTGGGAAGGTGGCTCCGTGGTAGAGCGCTCGCCTTGCATGCCTGAGGCCCTGGGGTCAATTCCTCAGCACCACATAAGCAGAAAGAAAAAAGCCGGAAGTGGCGCTGTGGCTCAAGTGGTAGAGCACTAGCCTTGAGCTGAAGAGCTGAGGGACAGCGCCCAGGCCCAGAGTTCAGGCCCCACGACCGGACCCAAAAAAAAAAAAAGATTACAAGTGGTGGTGGTGCACCCTGAAACCTCATTAGTAGAGACAGATCAGGAAGACATCAAGAGTGAAGACAGCCCAGGCTACCGAGGGGTGGGAGGCCTGGCTCAAGCGGCAGAGCATCTGCATGAGCACAGGTGAGGACCTGAGTTCAAACCTACTGGCAAAGGAAAACGCAAGGAAAGAGAAGCTCAAATAACACATCCTAGCTAGGCGCGGTGGCTCACGCCTGTCATCCTAGCTACTCGGGAGGCTGAGAGCTGAGGATCACAGTTCAAAGCCAGCCCCGGCAGAAAAGTCAGTGAGGCTCTATTTCCAATAAACTACTCCAAAAAATCTAGAAGTGGTGCTACGACTCAAGTGGTAGAGCGCTAGCCTTGAACACAAAAAGGCTCAGGACAGCACCTGGGCCCTGAGTTCAAGCCCAAGGCTGGGGGGCGAGGGAAGGTAACATCTCCTCCTCACCATCCTTTCCAGAAGGCAACCTGAGATGCAGACGGTCACTGGCCACATAAACCCATGTGGGGTTCAGGTAACTCAGCATTGCTGGGGGACAGCTGGGAGGTGCCCGAGGGGGAACGCATGCCCCACAGCAGGCCTCCAAGGACACTAGACTAGCAAGTAACGCTGGTAAAGAGGACAGAACCCCAGCCTGCGTGACCTCTCGCAAACACACAAATCAGACCACGGACTTGCTCATAATGGCCACAAGGCGCAGACAACCCAAACACCCTTGCTGGCCCAAGAACCCCACCCCCCTGCACATGGTCCGGGGCTCCCCGGGCCGACACCTCCACTCACTCGGAAGCCCACCCCATCCTCCCTCAGGGGACCCAGAGCCAGTGCCCTGGCTGCCTCCCAGTCCAGCGCTGGGCAAGGGTGGGTGGGCAGCAAGGGGCTTCCCTCCCTGCTCACACGACACCAGGGCCTAACCCACCTCCCAGCTCCAGAAGCCACCAGGCCAGAGCTGGGCTCAGAAGGACGTGTTTCTTGTGAATCTGGCTGGTGGCTCACAAACAGGCCTGCTCACGGGCTGCAGTCAGATCCATAGGTGGCCACGCGCAGCCACAGATACACCTCCGGAGGGCGCCCCTCAGTCCACGACGCCGGCCCGGTTCCCAGCCCTGCCCTGAGCCTCACTGGCTGCATCCTCCAACACGCTCCAGGGGCTGGAGCTCACCCACCAGCTCCCGGTGCAGCCCTGGACCACCGTGGACACAGCCCCTGCCACGTGCCCACGCCCTGCGGCCCACAGGCCCTCTGCCCCCAGAATCCCGCCCTCACACCCCACGGGGTTACAATGGCTGACCCTGTTCTCCTCGGCTCCCGGCCTGGCCAGGACTTCCCTCCCAGCAAGCCCGGGGCAGGCACATGGGACACACGTGGAGCAGCCCAGTGGGCTGCTGAGGACAGAACAGTGGACAGGAGATGTCCAGCAGGCTCTGAGGACAAGACAGTGGACAGGAGGTGTCCAGCGGGGTCTGAGGACAAGACAGTGGACAGGAGATGTCCAGCAGGCTCTGAGGACAAGACAATAGACAGGTGTCCAGCGGGGTCTGAGGACAAGACAGTGGACAGGAGGTGTCCAGCAGGCTCTGAGGACAAGACAATAGACAGGTGTCCAGCGGGCTCTGAGGACAAGACAGTGGACAGGAGGTGTCCAGCGGGGTCTGAGGACAAGACAGTGGACAGGAGGTGTCCAGCGGGCTCTGAGGACAGGCTGGGGGAGCGCCCCTCAGCACCTGGTGAGCCTGGCTCTGAGTACAAGGAGAACAGGTAGGGCTGGCCTTGAGGGAAGGGCAAGGAGGCCACAGAAGGGCCCAGGTCAGCTCCCAGCTGCCTTGGAACACATCCACAGGGGCTTGCGCACAGCTGGTGAGCCCTCACCCCGCTGCTCAGAACGCACTCCTGGACGCTCCCCACTGCCCCCAGCACCGCACGGTGAGAAGCCAGGCCGCCCTGGTGTCACTCACACCCTGAGGAGCACCACGGCCTGGCCGGTGCTGGACCCGAGGGCCGGTGCTGGACCCGAGGGGCGGTGCTGGACCCGAGGGGCGGTGCTGGACCCGAGGGCCGGTGCTGGACCCGAGGGCCAGACGGGCCTGTGCCTAGGCCCTGGCTCACCACAGGCACCACTGTAGGAGTGCGGCACAGCTCACAACAGGCTGTGGGTCCAGGCGGCTCCAGGACCCCATGGGGCTTGGTCTTCTCGGCAAGGCCACCCTCACCCACACATGCTGGCCCTCCCCGGGCGTCCTGGCAGCAGACCCATCCTACCTGCAGAGAAGATGTGGCTGGCCACAGCCAGGAACGCATCCGTCACCACGGGCTCCGACTGCAGGGAGAGGTGCAGCTGGCGGGCCACATTACGGTACACACTGGGCCGGATCTGCTCCAGCTCGTCACCTGTGGGGACACACAGGGCTCAGGGCCCACCTGTGCCCCCCACGGTCACCCCAGGCCACTCCTAACCCACCCCCGAGCCACGCCCCCCACTGAGCCACGCCCACTCCCAGCTGACTTACTTCACAGGCCCTGGGGCAGGACCAGACAAGTGCTGTGGGCACTCCCAGTCCCAGGCTGTGGTGCTGCCCCAAGCCCTCCCTCCCCCGGGGAGCAGGAATCCTGCAGGGGGGAGTGGGCCCTGCCTGCTGATGACTCTCAGGAGCCAGCCAAGCTGCTCAGGCAGAGCCCAGCCTGGCAAAGGGCAGGGAAGGGAGCCCCTACACAGGCCTCCAGACCCATGCTCCAGTGGGGAGGCCCCGGGCTGCCACACAGGGACAGCCTGGCATAGACCCCACCATCATCTGGTGATGGTTCAGCAAACAACCTGTAGATGCTGATCCACAGCGCCAGGCCATCAGCACCACCCACCGCCACCACCAGGGTGTGTGTGTGTGTGTGTGTGTGTGCAAAGCAGTGGAAAGATAGTGCCTGGAGCGTGTGTGTGCGCGCGCGTGCGAAGCAGTGGAAAGATGGTGCCTGGAGCTCCACACTGCCACAGACTGGGAGTCCCCAGCTCAGCCAAAGCACACAGTGACATGCTGCATGCTGGACGGGCCACTGGTAAGGGCTCCCAGTCACGTCTAGAGCTGACCGCCCCATCTAATTAACTAAGGCCTAGAAGGAGAGCAGAAGCAGGGCTGTCCCAGGGATGGGGATGCGTGGGAATTCTCAGGATGGCTTGTCTGTTTCCAAACACAGACCCTGGGGGCTGGTTTGGGGGGCAGGACGTGGTACAGAGGTGGGCTGCTTCCTGCTTGTGGCAGCCTGCAGGGCTGGGGGAAGGTCAGGGGTCACAGCACCACACTACGAAGAGACTTACCCTAAGACACAGAATCCAGCGAGTGGACATGAACAAGAACTCCTAAGGTCTGAGCTGTCTCCTGGGGTCCCTTCACTGTATGGCAGGGCTGCGGTCTAGGCCCTGCCTGCCCAGCCCCAATGCAAGGTTTGTGCCTGTTCCCCAAGCCTGTGACAGAGTCCTGGGGGGGGAGGCAGGCAGGTCTGAGGGGAAAGGCTAGCTGGGCCTGACAGCAGGCCACCATCAAGCAGGACTTTCTCCCGGCCTGAGCCCTGGTTCTGAGGGCATCACCTCCAGAGCAGCCGGGTCTCACAGAGCCTGGCCCTGCTCCCTTAGCCTCCCACCCCACGCTCAGGCGGCCGTAAGAGTCCCATGGATGGGACTCAGGCCCCTCTCGGGCAGGCCAGGCGGACACAGCCGTTTCTGGGACCAGCATGGCATGCTGGTGCGGGGCCACACAGAGCAGAGGGTCAGCACAGGCCCCTCCCTCAGACCTCCTTCCCAGTCTGGCCGGGCGAGGGGTCCCCTGAGGCAGTGGGGGCGCTGAGCTGTGACCCCGGAAATGCCCCAATCTCTCGGGGTCGCAGGCCCTGGGGAGAGGGCAGCTGAAAGGCCCGTTTTCCAAAACAAACATGGGACTGCGGTCGGCAAGGGTCACCCAGAGGCTAGCGCGGCCCTTCCCAGGCCCCTGCGCTGTGTCTGATGGGACGCGGGCGGCCGCCCGGGCTCCGGGAGCCTGTGCGGGCAGCCAGAGGCGGGCGAGAGGGCCACGGGCGGCCGGCCGCGGGCGGAGCCCCGCTCCACCCTCCGCCCTGGAGCGGGGCCGGGGTGGAGCGGGGCCGGGGTGGAGCGGGGCCGGGGTGGAGCGGGGCCGGCCCGCTCCAAGCGAGGCCTTGCGGGGCGGGGCGGGCGTGGGCCCGAGGGGCGGGGCGTGGGCCCGAGGGGCGGGCCCCGAGGGGCGGGCGCACTCACCCAGGCGCAGCAGCACCGCGCACACCTCGGCCACCGCACACCTCGGCCAGGTGGCCGCCCGGGGGTTATGGGTAGGGGCCTGGGCGGGGCCTCTCCGCGGGGCGGGGCCCGAGGGGCGGGGCGGGGCGGGCGCACTCACCCAGGCGCAGCAGCACCGCGCACACCTCGGCCAGGCGGCCGCCCGGGGCCGGGGCCGCGCGCTCGGGCGCGCTCCAGGCAAGGCCTGCACGCAGAAGCCGCGCGTGCACGAACTCCCGGCCCAGCGCCTTGGCCTGGGCCACCAGCTCCTTGTCGGTGGGCGATCTGTCAAAGGCATCCATGATCTCCGCCGCGAAAACCGAGGAGCGCCTCAGCACCTCCATGGCGGGCACGCGGGCGGGCGGCGCGGCACCTGCGGGCGGGAGCGCTCAGCGGGCGGAGCCCGGGGCCGCGGGAAGGGGGAGGGGGGGGCGCGAGAGGGGTCACGGGCGCGGCCTCCCCGCCGCCCTCCCCGCCCGTGTGGCCCGGTCCGGCCGTCCCCGCCAGACCCTGGCTCTGTGCCCGAGCCTCGTAAATCGGTGTCGAATCCTCCCGGCTTCCGCGGACATCCCCGGCCTGCTCCGAACTAGACGCCGCAGACCCCCGGACCATCGAATCCCGCAGACCCCGAAGATCCCCGAATCCCGCAGACTCCCGGACCCCCAGACCCCCGGACCCCGTCAGACCCCGCAAACTCCCGGACCCCCGGACTCCGCAGACCCCCGAATCCTGCAGACTCCCGGACCCCCGAGACCCCGCAGACTCCCAGACCCCCAGACTCTGCAGACCCCCGGACCCCATCAGACCCGGACCGCCAGATCCCCATACCGCCAGACCCGCAGATCCCCGGACCCCCGCGGCCCCCCCCCCGTCCCCGCGGCCTCCCCGTCCCCGCGGCCTCCCCGACCCCGCGGCCTCCCCGTCCCCGCGGCCTCCCCGACCCCGCGGCCCCCCCCCGTCCCCGCGGCCCCCCCCCGTCCCCGCGGCCTCCCCGACCCCGCGGCCTCCCCGTCCCCGCGGCCGCCCCGACCCCGCGGCGCCGCCCGCTCACCTCTCCCGCCGCATGTCGCGCCGGGGCCGGGCGGAGCTCGGGTCTCTGGCTTCAGGGGCTGCGCCCGCGCCGCCCCGCCGCCCCCAATCAAACCCAAGCCCGGAGCGGGGTCCCGGCCCGCGCGCCCGGGGGTCAGCAGCGGGGGGGGGGGGGGGGGGGGGTGCCCGCGCAGGACGCCGCCGCCGACGGGTCGCCGCGCTTTGCCTTCTAAGGGAAGGGCGACCGGGGTGGAGCCGCGGCCAGGCCGCCCCGCGCCCAGAGGCCCGCCCCCCGCCCTGCCCGCCAACCAGAGGCCCGACTCCCGCCCTGCCCGCCAACCAGAGGCGCGAACCCGCCCAGAGGCCCGCCCCCCGCCCTGCCCGCCAACCAGAGGCCCGCCCCCCGCCCTGCCCGCCAACCAGAGGCCCGCCCCCCGCCCTGCCCGCCAACCAGAGGCCCGACTCCCGCCCTGCCCGCCAACCAGAGGCCCGACTCCCGCCCTGTCCGCCAACCAGAGGACCGACTCCCGCCCTGTCTGCCAACCAGAGGCCCGCCCCCAGGCTCCCTGAGACTCGCCCCCCCAGCCTCCCTGCGACCCGCCCCTTGCCCAGAGACCCGCCCCCGCCAACCCGTCCTCCGCCGCCCCGACCCCGCCCTCCGCCGCCCCGCCCTCCGCCGCCCCGCCCCCCGCCGCCCTCCGCCGCTCCGCCCCCGCCCCGCCCTCCGCCACCCTCCGCCGCCCCGCCCCCGCCGCCCCGCCCCCGCCCTCCGCCGCTCCGCCCTCCGCCGCCCCGCCCCCGCCCTCCGCCGCTCCGCCCTCCGCCGCCCCGCCCCGCCCTCCGCCGCCCCGCCCCGCCCTCCGCCGCCCCCCGCCGCCCCGCCCCTCAGCCGCCCCCCGCCGCCCCGCCCCCGCCCTCCGCCGCCCCGCCCCGCCCCTCCCTCCGCCGCGCCGCCCCGCCCCGCCCTCCGCCGCCCCGCCCCGCCCCGCCCTCTGCCGCCCTCCGCCGCCCCGCCCCCGCCGCCCCGCCCCCGCCCTCCGCCGCTCCGCCCTCCGCCGCCCCGCCCCGCCCTCCGCCGCCCCGCCCCGCCCTCCGCCGCCCCCCGCCGCCCCGCCCCTCAGCCGCCCCCCGCCGCCCCGCCCCCGCCCTCCGCCGCCCCGCCCCGCCCCTCCCTCCGCCGCGCCGCCCCGCCCCGCCCTCCGCCGCCCCGCCCCGCCCCGCCCTCTGCCGCCCCGCCCCCGCCCTCCGCCGCCCCGCCCCGCCCCGCCCTCCGCCGCCCCGCCCCGCCGCCCCGCCCCGCCCTCCGCCGCCCCGCCCCGCCCTCCGCCGCCCCGCCGCCGCCCTCCGCCGCCCTCCGCCGCCCCGCCCCCGCCCTCCGCCGCCCCGCCCCGCCCCGCCCTCCGCCGCCCCGCCCCGCCCCGCCGCCCCGCCCCGCCCTCCGCCGCCCCGCCCCGCCCCGCCGCCCCGCCCCGCCCTCCGCCGCCCCGCCCCGCCCTCCGCCGCCCCGCCCCGCCCCGCCCCGCCGCCCCGCCCCGCCCCGCCGCCCCGCCCTCCGCCGCCCCTTCCCCGCCCCGCCCTCCGCCGCCCCGCCCCGCCCCGCCCCGCCGCCGCCCTCCGCCGCCCCGCCCCGCCGCCCCGCCCCGCCGCCCCGCCCTCCGCCGCCCCGCCCCGCCCCGCCGCCCCGCCCCGCCCCGCCGCCCCGCCCCGCCCCGCCCCGCCGCCCCGCCCTCTGCCGCCCCGCCCTCCGCCGCCCCGCCCCGCCCCCGCCCCCTGCCGCCCCGCCCTCCGCCGCCCCCGCCCTCTGCCGCCCGGCCCCGCCCCGCCCCGCCCCGCGGCCCTGGCGCAGAGCGTGCGGGCTGAGCCCTGTCCTGCAGAGATGGAAACGCCCAGCCCGGGCAGGGCCGAGAAACCCCGGCTGACGGCCCGGGCCTGGAGCTGCGCCTCTGCCGGGCCCAGCCGGGGCCTCGCTCCGCCTCCTCCCGCCGCGCGGCCGCCGCCGTCGGAGCCGTCCGTCCGTCCGTCCGTCCGGCGGCACGGTGCATCGCGGCACGCCCCCAGACGCGGCCGGCAGCCAGCTCCTTCGGAACGGACGGTGTCCCCGGGAGACGAACCTCCCGACCCGCGGCCCAGACCAGCGGCCAGGGCCGGGGTCGGCCCCCGACGGCGCGCCCGAGGCCAGCCCCCGCAAAGGCCCCTCGCGGCCTCGGTCCTAGCCTGGACGGCGGGGTTGGAGCCGGCCGAGCCGGGACTGCTGTGGGTGTGGTGTTAAGGATCTCACCGGGGAGCCCAGACACGGAACCCTCGCCTGCCTCTGCCGGGGGGGGGGGGGGGGGGGGGGGAGGGGCGGGTAAGAGGGGGAGGAGGAGAAGAGGGGGGAGGAGAAGAGGGGGGGGCGCCCTGCCCACGCCCACCTTCTCTGTGGGGGGGAAAGGCTGCGCCCTGCCCACGCCCACCTTCTCTGTGGGGGGAAAGCTGCGCCCTGCCCACGCCCACCTTCTCTGTGGGGGGGAGGTGTGCGCCCTGCCCACGCCCACCTTCTCTGTGGGGGGAGGGGTGCGCCCTGCCCACGCCCACCTTCTCTGTGGGGGGAGGGGTGCGCCCTGCCCACGCCCACCTTCTCTGTGGGGGGAGGGGTGCGCCCTGCCCACGCCCACCTTCTCTGTGGGGGGAGGGGTGCGCCCTGCCCACGCCCACCTTCTCTGTGGGGGGGAGGCGTGCGCCCTGCCCACGCCCACCTTCTCTGTGGGGGGGAGGCGTGCGCCCTGCCCACGCCCACCTTCTCTGTGGGGGGAGGTGTGCGCCCTCCCCACGCCCACCTTCTCTGTGGGGGGGAGACGTGCGCCCTGCCCTCTCCCACCTTCTCTGTGGGGGGGAGGTGTGCGCCCTGCCCTCTCCCACCTTCTCTGTGGGGGGAGGTGTGCGCCCTGCCCTCTCCCACCTTCTCTGTGGGGGAGACGTGCGCCCTGCCCTCTCCCACCTTCTCTGTGGGGGGGAGGCGTGCGCCCTGCCCACGCCCACCTTCTCTGTGGGGGGGAGGCGTGCGCCCTGCCCACGCCCACCTTCTCTGTGGGGGGGAGGCGTGCGCCCTGCCCACGCCCACCTTCTCTGTGGGGGGGAGGCGTGCGCCCTGCCCACGCCCACCTTCTCTGTGGGGGGAGGTGTGCGCCCTGCCCTCTCCCACCTTCTCTGTGGGGGGGAGGCGTGCGCCCTGCCCTCTCCCACCTTCTCTGTGGGGGGGGTGACAGGTGTGCGCCCTGCCCACGCCCACCTTCTCTGTGGGGGGGGAGGCGTGCGCCCTGCCCTCTCCCATCTTCTCTGTGGGGGGGTGACAGGTGTGCGCCCTGCCCACGCCCACCTTCTCTGTGGGGGGGAGGTGTGCGCCCTGCCCACGCCCACCTTCTCTGTGGGGGGGAGGTGTGCGCCCTGCCCTCTCCCACCTTCTCTGTGGGGGGGAGGCGTGCGCCCTGCCCTCTCCCACCTTCTCTGTGGGGGGGAGGCGTGCGCCCTGCCCACGCCCACCTTCTCTGTGGGGGGGAGGGGTGCGCCCTGCCCACTCCCACCTCTGTGGGGGGGAGGTGTACGCCCTGCCCACGCCCACCTTCTCTGTGGGGGGTGACAGGCGTGCGCCCTGCCCACGCCCACCTTCTCTGTGGGGGGGGTGACAGGTGTGCGCCCTGCCCACGCCCACCTTCTCTGTGGGGGGAGGTGTGCGCCCTGCCCTCTCCCACCTTCTCTGTGGTGGGGAGGTGTGCGCCCTGCCCACGCCCACCTTCTCTGTGGGGGGTGACAGGCGTGCGCCCTGCCCACGCCCACCTTCTCTGTGGGGGGGGTGACAGGTGTGCGCCCTGCCCACGCCCACCTTCTCTGTGGGGGGAGGTGTGCGCCCTGCCCTCTCCCACCTTCTCTGTGGGGGGGAGACGTGCGCCCTGCCCTCTCCCACCTTCTCTGTGGGGGGGAGACGTGCGCCCTGCCCACGCCCACCTTCTCTGTGGGGGGGAGACGTGCGCCCTGCCCTCTCCCACCTTCTCTGTGGGGGGGAGGGGTGCGCCCTGCCCTCGCCCACCTTCTCTGTGGGGGGGAGGGGTGCGCCCTGCCCACGCCCACCTTCTCTGTGGGGGGGAGGGGTGCGCCCTGCCCACGCCCACCCTCTCCGTATGTCTGCACATCCAGCTTTCTCTTGGTACAGACGTTGCACATGTCATTTCTGCCACCTCAAGTGTTGTTGCTAATTTATTTCACGGTGGTTGAATTCAGGGCCTGAAGCTCTCTAGGCAGGTGCTCCGCCGCTTGAGACACAGACATAGCCCTTTTTGCTTTAGCTACGTTTTGGCTGGGGCCTTGAGCATTTCCCCAAGCCAGGCTGGACCACTGTCCAGCTGACCTTCATGGCTGGGTGGACAGCGATCGGGCACCACAGCCAGCTTGTTATTTAAGATGGATCTTAATCTAACTTGTGGCCCAGGCTGAGCTCAAACTACAGTCTTGCTGATCCCAGCCTTGCGCAGAGCTGGGTTAAGCGCTTCTTTTCTTGTACAAAGCTTGTGCATGTCTGATGAAGGACTGTGTCCTGAGGCTCTTTTCCTAACTTGTTCATGTTTTCCTCCTTTGGTTTTGTTTTTTATGTTGCTCCCGTTTTCCATCACAGGATTTAGGAAAGTGCATATGTTAGAGGTCAATGTGGTTTTCAGAATCAATTTTCAAGAGCGTTAGGAAGTAAGAATATTGGGAAGAGTCAGAGATAGGAGGATTTTGGTCAAGGCCAGCCCAAAATGTAGTGAGCAGTCTTAAAACACAAGATGGGGGCTGGGAATGTGGCTTAGTAATAGAGTGCTTTCCTTTTTTTTTTTGTTGGTCGTGGGGCTTGAACTCTGGGCCTGGGCGCTGTCCCTCAGCTCTTCAGCTCAAGGCGAGCGCTCTACCACTTGAGCTACAGCGCCACTTCCGGTTTTCTGGTGTTTATTGGAGATAGGAGTCTCAAGGTCTCTCCTGCCCGGGCTGGCTTTGAACCGCGATCCTCAGATCTCAGCCTCCTGAGTAGCTAGGATTATAGGCGTGAGCCACCAGCGCCCGGCTTTTTTAAAGATTTTTTTTTTTTTTTTTTGGACCGGTCGTGGGCCCTGAACTCAGCCTGGGCACTGTCCCTCAGCTCTTCAGCTCAAGGCTAGCATTCTACCACTTGAGCCACAGCACCATTTCTGGCTTTTTTTTTTTTTCTGCTTATGTGGTGCTGAGGAATCGAACCCAGGGCCTCATGCATGCAAGGCAAGCGCTCTACCACTGAGCCACCTTCCCAGCCCCTAGAGTGCTTTTCTAACATGCACGGAGCCATGGGTTCAATTCCTCAGTACCATATAAGCAGAAAATGCCGGAAATGGCACTGTGGCTCAAGTGGTAGAGCACTAGCCTTGAGCACAGAGAGGCCCCAGGGGAAAAAAAGTCTGACTCTGTCTCCAATTAACCAGTAAGAATTCCTGGACTATAAGCATAGTCCAGGTGGTAGAGTGCTCACCATGTGTGAGAAAGCAGACGAAGAGTGTCATGCATTGAGTTCAAATCCCCACACCAACTCAAAACCACAACCGAAAAAAGCCAGGTGAAGTGGAACAGACAGAAAGACTGGAACATGGCTCAAGGCATAGAACACACACCTAGCAAGCAGAGAAGCCCTAGTTCAGTCCTCAGAACATGGTGGGTTGTGTTGCTTTCTTCCATTCTCCCCAGCCTTGGCCTGTCTGGTCTGTGTGTGATGGACGAGGCTCTGCCGACTCCATCCCTCATGCCACTGCAGCACCTGTGTTGACACCGGGCCTGGCAGTCACCCTTTTATGTGTTTTTCTGCAACTCAACCTAAATTATGAACACCCATGGCTTAACTTTTTTGTTTTTGTTGGGCGTGGGGCCTGAACTCTGGGCCTGGGTGTTGTCCCTCAGCTCTTCAGCTTAAGGCAAGCGCTCTACCACTTGAGCCACAGTGCCACTTCTGGCTTTTTCTGCTTATGTGGTGCTGAGGCATCGAGCCCAGGGCCTGATGCATGCGAGGCACGCGCTCTACCACTGAGCCACCTACCCAGCCCCATCCATGACTTTAAAAGTCCAGTAGTTCGGCACGGCTGTTAGTGAAATAGTGCCACCCTTGCTGCGGGCCCCAGGGGACGTGTACCCTGGTTGTGGTGCCTCACCACACCGGTGCTCAGCCCATGACCCTGAACAGTGGTGTGATGTTATCTGGGGAAGTCCAGGAATTGCCCCTTCCAGCTGCATGCTTCCTGTCCTTCTCCTCCTCACAGCTTGTACCCGGCCTAACATCCGCCCTCCCCACGGAGGTGAGCCGACGTGTGAAGCTCCTCCTCTCCAGTGCAGCCCCTGAGATGGCTCCGCAAGGTGGGTTGGAGTCAGGCTGTGACTTCCCGGCGGTGCCTCTAGTTCCGCGGGGTGCTGGCCACCCTGTGTCCCAGCAGCTGTGCACACCCTCGGCTGCCCAGTGTCTCTGCAGCCTCCCCGGCCCACCGCCCCTTCCTTCCCCAGGCAGGTGGTCTGTGGAATGACACTTAGTCTTGCACACTTATTTCCCATGTACAACACAGATCAAAAACACCCAACGGCCCACATCAAGAGCGGGAACTGAAGGCCACTTCCTTCTACTTCCCTCTCTCAACCCACCTCACTCCCCCTGTCCACTTTCCCAGGACAGCTAGACCTAAATCCTGGCACCGCACAGTTGCTGTGGGCTTTCACTCCCTGCTGAGCTGGTGAGCACCTGCTTTCCCAAGGCTGATGGCTGCCGTTCCATTCCCCCATCGGCCTGCCTGCTGTCAGCCCCGGGGCACCGCAGGCCCCAGCTCACGGTGCCCCATGCTGCCCTCCCCAGAGGCCTTGCTCTGGCCTCTTTCCCAAGGGGAGCATGTAGGGACCAGAGCAGGGCCCGGCAGCAGGCTCCCGTCCCTCTGATCCAGCTCTGTGCTCCCTCCTCCCTTATCGTTTGGTTCTGGTTTCTGGAAGAGTTCCTTTGTGTTTTTTCCTTTTAATATTTCTGGTGAATTTTATTGTTAAATCCAGATGCTCTTACGCTTTGAAAATTGCCTCTCTCTCCATACACAGAGCTCTCTCTGATCTCTCGGGCGGTGTCCGTTTTTAGAGCATCAGGACCAAAGATCTCCAGTTATCCATGTACCAAAAACAGTGCCTGCAAAGACGTCTGCTCCGGGGAGGCCGC